TGCCCTTGCAGGACTCTTGGGGGCCAGGGGTGAGGGGGTGCACTGAATGTTAGCGCTGGCCAGCATTGGGTGTGGGCAGCACTGCAGTTTGAAGGTCTGTGTCCCTCACTTCACTGGTGGATGAGGTGAGCCAGTCTCGAGGGAGGAGCCGAGGACGGGATGGGGCCAGGAGCCCACCCTGAATCAGACGGCCCAAGATCTTCTGCCTGCCATAGCCCCTCTTGTGTGTTTACTGTAGCAATGCAGATGGAGGGTGGGTCAGGGTGCACAGGGAGTCTAGAGGGCTATGAGGAAAGAGCTGAGCATCAAGTCCTTAGAGTCCAGAGCCAGCCCAGATTGGGAACTGGAGGAACACACATCCCTTCCTGTGTTTTTTGAGACCTGGTCTTGCTCTGTAGTCCAGTCTGGCCTTGAACTCACTATGTAGGCCAGACTGACCTTGAACTCAAGAGACCCTCCTGCCTCAGCCTCTTGAGTGCTGGTATAACAGGCTGTGCCACCATGCCAGACTGCCCAACTTCAAGCTCTCTGTTAGCAGCACTTGGGACTGTATTTCCCAATCCTGGTCACCACATTCAGTTTTTATTTTTTGAGCTGGCCATGAGGCGCAGCTCAAGAGAGCACTGGCCCAGTGTGTGCAAGGCCCTGGTTCTACTGCACATCACACACACACACGCACACACACTCACATGCACTCGGAAGAGCCTGCTCTCCAGGAAGCAGGTCCTATTCGTCCCCAGCCCATCCTGGAGCTGACCTGTGGGGTTATGGGTCCTGGCTCCTCCTGTCTGCCCAGCAGTGTCCTCTGTCACTGCCCACAGTGGGACAAGCCAGTGGGCATGCAAAGTGCCCATTCCTGGAGGCATGGACTTGGGGGTAAACACTTGGCTTGTTTGCACTTCTGTGCTGTCTACACTGCTGGCGGCACATCCTAGAAGGGCTGAGCCAGTTTCTCAAGACAGTACCTCTCCTGAAGTACATTGTAGCCAGCTTCTAGGAGCTCCCAAGAGCCATTTGTTTATTTAAAATTTCACAAGCCAGTTGTTAAACAGAGCTGATATTAAAATGAGTTCTTGCCAGGCATGGCACATGACTGTAATCCCAGCACTTGGAAGGCTGAGGCCAGCCTGGGCTGTATAGTTAGTTCCAAGGCCAACCCTGGAATGCATAGCAATATGGTATCTTAGAGGAACACACACACACACACACACACACACACACACACAATCCACTAAACTGGGTACCTTTTGTTTGTTTGTTTTTTGGAGGGGGGCAGTTTGAGATAGGATCTTGTATGATTCAGGCTGGCCTCGAACTCATGGTGACCTTTCTACCTCAGCCTCCTGAGTGCTGAGACTACAGGTGTGCGCCACCATCCCCTGCTTGTTTTTTGAGACAGAGTCTTGCTATGTAGTTCAGCCTGCCTTTGAACTCACTATGTAGCCAGTGCTGGCCTCAGATGGTGACCCTCCAGCCAACCTTCCTGCCTCAGCCTCCTGAGTGCCGGGATTACACTCAGGTGACATGTGCCATCACGCCTGGCTAAAGTTTGTTTGTTTTTTTGGTACTCAGTTGAACTCAGGACCTTGTGCTTGCAAGACAGGTGAGGTGCCACTGAGCTAAATCCCCGGCCCCATAAAATTTTTAAAATTTTGAGACAGGTTCTCCCTTAACTCACTAAGTTGCCTGGGTTGGACTCACACTTTAGATCCTCCTGCCTTAACCTCCCAAGGTACAGTACTGGGATTACAGGAGTGCACTGTCATGCCAGGCCCAATACTGTAATGAATCTTACTTTGATGAAATCTTAATTCTTCTATGTGGATCATTCTTACAAACCATAGTTTCATAGAAGAACTATTGCCTGGCCAATGCAACAGCTACTCCAAGGCACAATTACACCAAACAAAGTGGGCTATTTGGGGATTTAACTCAATGGTTCCGGCGCCTGCCTCGAAAGCGCAAGGTCCCGAGTTCGATCTCCGGTACCAAAAAAAAAAAAAAGAATTTCAGTGTACAAAGTGGTCTATTCAGAGAAAGCCCACTAGATCTACAAGGAGGAGGGACAGTAAAAAAATTGAGATGTGTTATGTGTATGAACCAACTCACAATGAATGTAATCATGTACTGCAAACATGTAGTGATAAAAATTAAGGGCTGGGGATTTAGCTCAGTGGTTCTGCAGCCTGCCTCGAAAGCACAAGGTCCCGAATTTGATCCCCGGTACCCCCCCCAATTAAAATAATTATTAATCTGGGCTCTCTTGGGCAACAGCAGGTAGCACCCAGATTTAAAAAGCAGAGGGAAAAAAGGCGCACACCAACACCGGATGATGTGCGAAGTGTACAGTGTTGCCCACATCGGACAGAAACAGCTGGAACGGGAAGGCTGTCTCGGGGCTGTTGTGCCGTTCTTGGAATTCCTGCAGATTACACAGGGAGCACGGAGGTCAGAAACCGCAGCGCCAAGCTCTGAATCATTCCGCCGAGACAGAGCCGAGCCGGCCGCACCAGGCCGCCCGCCACCCAGCCCGGGAAGCCCGGCGCGCTGCTCGCTACTGTAGAAGGGCTCTGAGGCAGAGGCGACCGCAGCTTTGGCTGCTTCCGGAACCGCTCACCTCCAGTTGCAAGTCCGCAAACTGAGGAGGGGACGCTGCCGCGGGAGGAGCTGTCCAGGGTCCGCGGGGAGCACATCCTGGGCGGTGTTACAAGGCGTCTGTGGAGAACTGTGGAAAGTAGCATTGTTCTCTCTAACCAGGTGATACACACAAGGCGCCTTCCCAGTTGCGTTCTTGCCTTTGATGAGGCAGTTCCTATCTCGGCTTTGTAAGCTATAAAACTGGCATCGTCTAAACCATAAAACTGAGATCCCAAGAGTGTTAGCTGTTTGTATCAAGCAGGAAGCCAGCTGAACCAGCTAAGTTATTCAGCCTCAGTGGCCTTTGTTTCCTTTTCTGTGAGGTGGATTAATAACAGTAGCTTGGCCCGATGGGGTGGTCCAAACCTGTGATCCCAGCGCAGGGCGGCTGAGGCAGGAGGATAACTGTGAGTTCGAGGCCAGCCTGGGCTACATAGCGAGACCCTGTCTCAAAAGGGCCTTATATGAACAGCATGGTGTTTGCATGTAACTTATGCACGGCCTCTTTATATTTTAAATCATCTCTAGATTACTTGTACAACCCAGTACAATGCAAATGCTAAGTACAGAGCTATTACACCATGTTATTTAGTGAATGATGGGAAGAAAGGAAGTCTGTGCTTGGTTAGCACAGGTGCAGTTTTCCCTGAACACCTGGATCCATGGTTGATTGAATCTGCCAATGTTGAACAGGAGAATATGGAGAGCCAACATTAATTGTTATTTCAAGCCAGGCGAGGTGGTGTACTCCTGTGCATTTGGGAGGCTGAGGCAGGAGGATTACCACAAGCTCAAGACCAGCCTGAGGTAGATAATGAGTCCAAGGCCAGTCTGAACTACACTGAACTACAGTGAGACCCTGTCTCAAAAAAAACCCAAAAAATCTGTTATTTCAACAAGATTTAGAAAAAAAAAAAAAGATTTAGGAAAGGAGTATGCATTAGGCCTTCCATCTTGAACTATAAACATTAGGCAAATAAAACCTTCACTAAATGGTGGCTACAGGCCAAAGCATGTTGGTGCACCCCTGTAATCCCAGCACCTTGGGAGGCTGAGGCAGGAGGATCACAAATTTTAGCCCAACCTGAACAATTTAGTGACTTAGCAAGACCCTGGCTCAATAGAAAAAAGAAAAAAGGGTTGTACTTGTGGCTCAGGGCAAGGCTCGCAAACTTCAGTACTGAAAAAAAAAAAGAAAAGAAAAAAACTGACCACAGGAAAATAAAGATCTACTATAAACATTCAAAGGAAGCAAACTGCTTAGAAAAAAGTCGTTCCTGAGGTCTAACAGCAGAGGAATGAAAGCAACTCCAAGCTCTCAGGAAATGTACAACAGCAGACTTTAACAGATAATGGTACATAATTAGGAGGAAACTTTAATTCTTTAAGGAACTGAGGTTAAAATGAGAGCCACCAAAATGAGACAAAAACAGAACGCCACCCTCCAAACCAAACCAAACCTTGCACCCTGTTTATTAACTGAGTGGTGACGTCATCAGAAATGCCCGGAATCAAATCTAAGCTTCAATATAAAACTCGATGATAAGACTTGAAGCCCTATCGAAAGTGCTCAGCCAAGCCAAACGCCTTTTCAGAAGGTGCCTGAGAACCAACCGAGGATCAAGCTCTCACTGAAGCAGAGCTGCAACATCTCCCTTAGAGGTAGGTGGTGTGTGTGTGTGTTTTGTTTATTTTGTTTTTCTTGAGATCGAGTCTTGCTACGCGGCCCAGGCTGGCCTCGAACTTGCAGCAATCCTGTCTCCTCCCGAGTGCTAAGATTACTGGCGCTTGCCATCACGCCCGGCTTATTTTCAATTTTAATAATTTGATCTAAGTGTGTTTGTTGTTTGGGCTAAAGTTTCCAGAAAACATTAGGCCTCCGTGTGTGTGTGTGTGTGTGTGTTACTGGGGACTGAACCCAGGTGCTTCACACTGAGCTACATCCCACTCCTTTATTTTATGAGACAGTCTCGCTTATTTTCTCAGCCTGGGCTCCATGATCCTCCTGCCTCAGCCTCCCAGAGTGCTGGGATCAATAGTGTTGCACCGCCACGCCCAGCTGTCCGTTTTCAAATAGGGAAAAACGGGAATACAAATCTGCAGCTTCAGCTTCCACATTTCATCGTCCCGAAGGCGGCTTGGGCAAACCCCGGGAGGAGCTCACGACCCCGCGTGGGCTCACAGCACACCACTGGGGGAGGGAACCCGGGGATTCCCAGCCACCGCCGGCCGCCGTCGCGGTCCCTTTCCAGGAACGTGAGAGCCCGCCTTCCGCGCACGGCCGCTGATTGGCCGAGAAGGCGCCGGGCGTGAGGTCAGGCCCCGCCCCGCGGGCCGGCCTGGCAGTTTGGTCTGGAGCAGCTGAAACCGGTTTGAGCGGAGGCGCTTCTGACGCTCGCTTGGCGCTGCCGCGGGCCGCCGGGAGGCGCGCGGGTGTCCGGCTCCTGGCTCGGCCTCGCTCCCGGGCGGCGGCGGCGGCGCAGAGGCGCTGACCACGTTGCGGCAGGTGAGGTGAGCGGGCGGCCGAGGCATCCGCGCGGCCGGCGCGGGCGGGGTCGCAGCTGCGAGTCCCGGGTTCCGGGTGGCCGCGCGCCTGCGCTCGCGGTGCTGCAGCCCCTTCGCCGGCCGCCTGCTCGGGTCCCTCGGCATCGGAGTTGACAGTCGGGACTCCGCGCGTGCACCGGGGCCAAGTTCAGGGACAAAGACGCACCGGCGCGCGGCCGGGACGCGGTGCCCTTCAGCAGTTCTCGCGCCCCTGGGGTGGCTTGGGGCGCTGGCATCTGCCGGGTTCCTGAAATCGCCGAAAAGCGGGGACCGCACGAGAAAAGTCGGAGCGGCAGAGTAATACGTGATCGGGACAGAAAGTCTAGGGTGGGCCGGTGTCGCTCAGCTGTCCCAGCGAGCGGGGCGCCTCACTTTGTCGGGAATATTCCTGGCCCGGGAGCGGACAGCGGTGCCGCGGGCGGATTTGAAGGCTGCGGCCCCGGTGCTCCTAGGCCCGCTGCTTCCAGAGCCCCGCAGACCGCCTCGCTGACTTTGGGGGAGAAGCCCCCTTGTGGTAGTCCCATGCATCCCCCCGCCCCGGCCTCTTGGATGCTTTGCCAGCGCCCTCACCCTGCCCAGGCGCTAGCCAGTCAGGCGTCGGAGAGAATTCTTTCACCTTGAGGGCTCTGCGGCGTCCGTCTGCAGTACTCACAGAGGAACTGATTGAACCAACAGGATGTTGGGGTCTGATGATGATGTTTTCATACTTCTGGCTGCTACCCACCTACTCTAGTGATTTGTGTTACTTTTTTGCTACATTTCTGACCGTTATTAAGCAATGAAATAAATACAAGCTGTCAGTCTTTTTTTTTTTCAGTTCTTAGTGTTCTGGACACAAAGAATAAAGCAAGAGGTAAAACCGCTCATGGCCAAGTCCATTCCTGATTTTGTTCTAGACAAAGTTTAAATCTGCAAAGGTGAACTGGGCGTGGTGGCGCATGTCTGTAATCCTAGCACTCCGGAGGCTGAGGCCGGAGGATCCCTGCTAGTTCAAGGCCACCCTGGACTGCTGTACATAGTTGAGATCCTGTCTCAAAAAAAAGAGGGGAAAAGGAATCAAAGTTGCTGGAGTCTAGCGAGGAGAATTAGAGACGGTATTTTTCCTTTGAAAAATGATGAGGGAGAACAGGGATGTTCTTTTTGGCCAGATGTACTCTAGCTAAAAATACCGACTTTAATTCAGTCTTAAATTAAGTGTTCCTGTACCTTGGTTTGCTTAAACCTCTCTTATTTCTCAAGCTGGTGGGGCAAGCTTATTTGACAGAATAAATTTATTTTTATTGTCTTTTAAGTGAAAAATTATATCAAGTTTATGGCACCACAGACATAGAATAGATTAATTTTGCCACATAGTGTGATTTTTTTTTTTGCTATAAATTACAATGTTATATTTTGCTAATTGCTTGGTTCTTTAAAATGTTAAACGTAGTGTTAAATACTACAGAAAATCTTAGATGAGAATGCTACCTTCAAAAAGTACAAAATGAAGATTATAGATTCTGTTTTTTAAAAAATCTGTCTGAGGAAGTGTGGTCTGTTTATGTTGTGATACCTGAGTTGGTTAAATTACCTATACAGTCAGCTCCGCATACGATGACTAGCATTTTTCACCTTACTCTTTTTTTTGTACCGGGGTTCGAACTTGGGTCCTTGCACTTGCACAGCAGGCGGGTGAAACCACTGAGCTAAATGCCCGGCCCTGCCTTACTCTTTTTTAAATGTGTGGAGACCTCACCTGTCCAATCTGCAGTGTTGTTGCTTGTTGAAGGCATGGGTGGATTTGCAAGTCTTTCATTCCACGATGGAACAGTTTTTACTCTGCTAATGGTGCTTGGTGGTGCAGTAGTTGGGTGCCAAAACTGCATGCTTCCATCCTGCACCAGAATTGTGGCCTCTACTGGTAAGAGGGTAAACTGCCTTCCAAGCAGCTCCCTGGGCTTTTGTTCCATATGGCTTTACATTTTTGGTGGGTGGAAATTGAAGTAGGATGCTTGGCTTTTCAATTTAGTGGTAGATCGCTTTGTTGACTTTTGAGGAGGTTTTTAAGGGGATGATTTTGTGTTTGTGTATATATTACACACACCTGCCAACTGAGGATGGAACACAAGGCCTTCACACTGAGCTAACTCCAAGTCCTTTTATTTTTTGAGACGAGTTCTTGCTAAGTTGCTAAATTGCCCAAATTGGTCTCAAAATTATAATCTTCCTGCCTCAGCCTCCCAAATTACAGGCCATGCCACCACACCTGGCTGTGTATATAGTTCTGTGTAATACATTTGCTGCAACTATTCACTGCTAAGTTACTGTAGGCACTTTACAGGAACTTTAGCACTGAAGAGTTCAGTTTTAGTAATTAGTTGATTTTTCTTTTATTAAATTTATGTGTTTCTTGTTTGTCTTAATGTAGTAGAAATCAAGAGATAATTTTGTACCTGGTGGGTTTTTTTTGGGTTTTTTTTTTGAGACAGGGTCTCCCTATGTAGCTCAGGCTGGCTTTGAACTCACTATGTAGCCCAGGCTGGCCTCAAACTTTTGTCAGTCCTCCTGCCTCAGCTTCCCAAGTGCTGGAATTACAGGCACGTGCCACCACACCCAGCAGCTGTTGTTTTTTATTTTTTTATTTTTTAGCTGTTGGTTTTTATACATAGGAATAATTACATCTTACTTTAAATTATTTGAATTGAGTACAAACTATGGAATTATAAGGGAATATCCTTTGTTGAGAATTGTGGCAGTAAATAATGGGTGAGAAAGTTTATAGTTTAAGACTGAGGTTGATTTTTCAGCCATTTTGTTGGCTGATAGGGCTAATGTTGTCTCTTAAAATTAATTCACTGGCTTAAAAGCTGAGCTGTTTTGCTAGCCTTAATTTTTTCTTTTCTTTTTTTTTGAAACAGGGTCCCTGTTGTTTGTTTGTTTTTGAGATAAGTCTTGCTGTGTAGTACAGGCTGGCCTCAAACTTGGAGCAATCCTTCTACCTCAGCCTCCTGTGTTCTGGAATTACAGTTATGCCCTCCCACACCTGGCTTGGCCTTAATTCTTGATATGATACAGATATGTTAAATATAATACTGAAGTGCTTCAGTGAACATTGATTAGAAATTACTTGAACTCCTGGGCGTCTACTCAGATTCACATTAGATGTTATTTTATTTTTAAAATTTTTATTTTATTTTATCCCATCCCCCCCTTCAAGTCCCCTTCCCTCCATATGTAGATACCATTTTAAAAGAGAACTATTAAGATATTTAGATGAGAAGCTAAGAGGTTAATAGTCTAGAGCTACTTTTAGGTTGAGGCCGGTCTTTGACAGTTCCAGAACTGGATATATGGATATCTGGCTAACTGGATATATGTATTTTTTTGTTTTTAGATATATATATATTTTAAATAGATTACGCTTACTTTTAGACACAGTATCTAGGTATCCTAGAAAGTTTTGCATGAACAAGTTTTCTGTAGAATATTACATTTTTTAACTGAAATATTAGAACAATTGCCAAATACAATACTTCACCTAAGGCAACATGACACCACATTGGTGGTCTTGTTTTACTTATTTGCATGTAATGCTGTAAATGTGATGTTATACAGTTTACAGCTAACATTGAGCTGGGATTCCTTTTTTTTTTTTGATACCAGGGATCGAACTTGGGACCTTGTGCTTGCAAGGCAGCCGTAGGAACCTCTGAGCTAAATCCCCAGCCCTGAGCTGAGATTCTTGATCCCACTTTGTACATATTCTGAACCTCACCCCTATCTATTTATTTATTTATTTATGAGGCAGGGTCTCACTATGTAGATCAAGTTGACCTTGAATTCACTATGGCCTAGAACTCTCAGTGATCCTCCTGCACCAGCCTCCTAAGTGCTGGGATTACGGGCATGTGCCACCATGCCCTGTTTACCTTAGCCCTACTGATATTTGGAGACAGTTATTTCTGGAGGGCTGTTTGCATTGTGTGGTATGGAAGCACTGCTAGCATCTACCTACTGGATACCAGGTGCATCCTTCCCCATTGTGAACAAAAACCTGACTCTACCAGATATATTCCCTGGGGGGTGAAATTGCCTTCCCTGAGAACTGCTGATGGAGATCTGCCTTCACTCCGGTAGCAGTCTTTCTCAGATGTGAGTTATACATGTTTTCAGGGGAGGGGAGGGAAGCAAAGGAGATCAGAAGAATGAATAGCTATGATAGGTACTTTAGTATTGTTTTATAATCTGTAAGTGAAAATAAAATTTATCTGGTGAGTTAATGGAAATGATGAAGAATAAAGACATGATTGGAATTCCTTTAGGAACTTTGGTGGATTGGTGTGCAAGTCTTTGGAGGTGTTAGAATTTATGTAGAGTATGATGTATCCTTGAGTAGAGCATGTGGTTCCTTACTTGAACTACATAACTATCTTGAAGTATGCCTGTGTCTCTAAACCTGTAAGTGTGGATATTTAGAGCTAGTCCCTGTCTTCATTTCAAGTTAGAGGGTGGTAAGCAGATTGTTTGGCTGAGAAAGGAATTAAAGGAAACAATTTGCTTGAGAGCAAATGTGTATAAAGCAGTGAAAGACTTCAAATCCTTAGAAGTTTAGATTTCTATAAGTAATAAAAATGACTCCAAGCCAGGGATGTGAGAAAAGATGTTCTAATTGACAGAAAATGTACTAGTGATAGAGATTTAGAAGCTGAAATTCAAGTAGTAGACATGGTTTTGTTTGTTTTTTGAGGCAGGGTCTCATTATGTAGTTCAGGCTGGCCTTGCACTTACAACGATCCTCCTGCCTCAGCCTCCCAAGTGCTGGGATCCCAGTAATGGGCCACTATATGAGACTAGGAGATAAGGTTTTGAATGAAGTTGGTAACTAGAAGCAATGGTGTGAGTACAAGATGAATTATATGTAATTGATAGGATTTGATGGTAGATCATAGTTGAGACTTTAAATGTGAAGCCTTCAGAATTTGTATAATGATGGTTCTGTGATAATAAAGAGAAAATCTGAAAAGACTGATTTGGGTGAAGGGTTTTTAAAGATTAGTTACATTATGTTTGAGAATCAGATTCTTAAAATTGTTGCAAAACTTAACTAGTTTGTTTCAATGAGTGGTGCTTGTTTGGTTGTTTCCTTGTTATGAAAATTGGTACCTTGATATTAAAGTAGAAATTCTCTGAGTCAAACTTTTAAAAAAATTTGTAGTTGTTTTTTCCCTTCCATAACATGAGCCTGGTCAGGAAAGATAGGTTGAATTCCAAACAGCTGCTTAGCCTAAGAGAAAGTGTGTGGCAAGAGAATCTGTTTTGTTTTGAGATAGGGTCTCACTACTAGTTTAGACTGGCCTTGAACTCACTATGTAGCCCAGGTATGGCAATCCTGCCTCAGTCTCCCAAGCGCTGGAATTACAGGCATGCACCACCATGGCAGGCTAAGAATTTTGACTTTGTAAACAATTTGGACACTTTGTTTTTCAGTATTTCTGTCCCCTGCATTCTTAAGAGAATGCTCTTTAAGATTACCTTTTGCAGTACTTTCTGGCACCAGTGCTGTCCCCACACTGTTTATATGGTCAGTTTACAGAAAAGGGCTCTGAAGTGAATCTTGCCCATGATAGAGATTCATTTTCTTTTTTTTTTTTGAATCTGATAATCTAATCTTTTTTAAAATTTAATTTTATTGATACATTTTAGGTACACAGTATAATGACATTCATCATTGGAAATTTGCACCTTTACATAATCTCTCTTGGTTCTTATTTTTTCCCCCTTCCCCTGCCCCCCCTTCAACCCTCCATCTGTCCCTGTTTACAAAGACTGTTTCATTTTTTCCTTTTCTCATATTAATTCCATTCCCTTCTTTCCTTTCCCCTACCCCTCCCACTTCCCCTTCACCCCTTTTCTTCCTATTTCACATTATCTATTACACTTTTTAGTCCTTATTTACACTTTCGGTTTCTCACACCAGAGAAACTATTCAGTATTTACATGTGTGTCCTATTTATTTCACTTAAGAGTATCAGCTCAATGTGCATCCATCATTTTCTTTTTTTGCTTTTTTCTTCTGTGGCTTTTTTGGGACAAGGTCTCACCCTGTAGTTAAGGCAGACCTCGAACTGAACTATGTAACCCTAGGTTGTCCTCAACTCCTGGTAATTGGCTTGTTTCAGCCTCCCAAGTGCTGGGATTACAAGTGTGCATCACCACCCCTGGTTTGCCTCATTTTTATTTATTTATTTTTTTGTACCAGGGATCAAACTCAGGACCTTGTGGTGCCACTGAGCTAAATCCCCTACCCTCTTTGGGTTTTGGGGGGGGGGTGGTACTGGGGATCGAACTCGGGCCCTTGGCACTTGTGCAGCAGGCAGCAAAACCACTGAGCTAAATCCCTGGCCCCCCTCTTTGGTTTTTTTGAGACAGTGTAGCACTGGTTCAGGCTGGCCGTGACCTGACTGTGTAGTCCAGGCTGACCTTAAACTCAGGATGATTCTTCTGCCTCAGCCTCCTGAGTGCTAGGATTACAGGTGTGTGTATACCTGGCATCTCTTCATTCATATTTACTCCTTAGTTTTAAAAAACAGCAAACCCAGCATAAAGCTGCATAGATATTAAATGCTACTTTCTTTTTGTAAGTACTGTACTGTTTTTTAAAATACTTATAAACATAGTTCTCAGTTTAACATGGTTTCTTGGTGGTAACCGTCTGATGCTAGTATCTTCATGTACTTTAAGTGACATTTTCTTTTTCTTCCTAGGAAGAATCCTAAAATAAATCCATCAGAATGACGCCTTCTCAGGTTACCTTTGAAATAAGAGGATCTCTCTTACCAGGTAAAGGTTTACTTTACAATGATTTTTTAAATAAAGTAAGCATTTTTCTTATCTGAGTTGTTTTAAATGTGGAATTGTTATTAGAGTGGGCTAATTTTTTAGATGAAAAGGTCTTTTACCCCCTTGCCTATCAGAGGTGTGATAGAGGCATAGTAAACTGACTCATAGAGAAAAAAATTTCAAGTGTCTTATTCTTGTGTTTGCCAAGAAAGCTATGAATGTATTCAATTTTCCACAGGGTGATGATAGCTGGGCCCTGATTTTTAGAAGTAACATGGAAATGAGGGAAGTTGTGTTAGTGCATGAAGTTGGCAAGGAATCTGGCCACAATAACTGCTCACTGTGTGGGAGGCTTCTTTCCACCTCACTGTGTTGGTGCTGTCTGTTGAAGTACAGAAATGCTTTTCCTGTTAGAGCATGTATCAAGCAATACCACCCTGGGTTGTGTACTTCCACACTGAATGTACTTGGAAAACGCTGACCACACTGCAGTCTGCAGATCTGCTGCGTTCCTTCTTCCTTCCCTCCTCAGATTTTCTCAAATTCTGTTTGCTGTGCCTAAATCTGTGCCCATCCTCACCCTTGAACACCCATGTTCCAGACGGTGAGGTCCCTTAGGAAGTTTTCCCAGGATCCCAGCACTCTTTTATAGCATCTCCTAGAGATTTTATAGAATTACCGTATTGAGGGATTTCATTTATGGATGGATTTGTGAACCCTGTGAAACATGACCTTGTCTTATTTATGCTAAATTCCTGCACCTAACACAGTGGTTGGCATGGATTAGGCGCGTAGTAAACATGCATTAAAAGAACTTTATAACTAGTAACACTAATAGTAGTTGGCAGTGTGTGTGTCCAAGTTCATGTTACCCGGGCATCTGCACTGAGCTACATCCCCAGCCCTCATTTTTGAAATTTATTTTTACTTGCATTTTGAGACAAGGTCTTGCTAAGTTGCACAATTGCCAAAGCTGGGCTCAGACTTGCAATCCACAGGCTCCTGTGGTGGCTGGGATGACAGGTTATGCACCACCACACCAAGGTCCTGTTCTCAGTCAAATCAACTAGTACTCTGTGCCCGGGGTGGAATTCTGTAGCGTGGAGACTGCTGGCCAGTGGAGGGATTGGCTCTCTTCCACAAGCCCTCACTTCTGATCCTGCCTTGGACTGCTCTGCAGAGAAGACTTCGGAGCTGACTGTACCCTTCAAGGCTGTTGGAGTTAGAAGGAGCTGGCCCGCAGAATTAGTTCACAGTAGGGTCAGCCTTACGAGGGGGACAGTCACCCTCACGGACTAGAGGGAGGGAGAAGATGGAAAGGAGGAAGAGGGAGAGGGACAAGGAGGGAACATTGAGGGAGACTTTGCTCACAGCACGCCTTCACCTTGGTCTCCCCACTGCAGCAGGAGGGTGCATTGTGTGCTGAGTGTTGAGCAGGATCCAACAGGGAGGGGAGAGCTGTAAGGAACAAGTGAAAAGGGTGTGTGGAGCTGCTCTTTGTAAATCCCCTTGTTTTTTTTTTTATTAGTACATGCCTGCAGCACACAATAACTCATTGCAGGGAGCTGGCACATGTAGACACACCACATCCCAGCTCCTTTTCATCCCTTTCCCCACCCCTTCTCCTGCCCTCCATCTACTGGTCCCCTTTCTGAGTTTGAGGTTTCTGTTGTGTTTTGGTGTGTGTGTGTGTGTACTGGAGATTGAGCCCAGGACTTTAACACTGAGCTACATCACCGGTCCTTTTTAAATTTTTTTATTTTGAGACAGAGCTTCACTAAGTTACTAAATTGCCCATGCTAGGCTCAAAAGTGTGATCCTGCTGCTCCTGGTTTCAGTGATAGGAATCCAGGGGTGCACCACCGTGCCTAGCAACTCTATAATCTTTTATAAGTGAGGCTAACTAAAGAGAGAGCTCTGTTTATTCTAGTAGAAAGTTCCTATTGCTGGGCGTGGTGGTGCTGGCCTGTAATCCCAGCATTTAGGAGACTAAGGCGGGAGGATTGCTGCAAGTTTGAGGCCAGCCTGAGATAGATAGTGAGTTCAAGACTAGCCTTAACTATATAGCGAGACCTTTACTCAAAAAAGAAAAAATTAGAATCCATATTGCCTAGGAATCAACAGGACAAACACCCATAGGAGCAAAGTGAACCACTGATTCTCCCGAGTTTCATTTTCCACTTGAGGGCCAGATTTAGCTCAGTGGTTCTGCTGCCTGCTTCACAAGTGCAAGGTCCTGAGTTCGATCCCTGGTACAAAAAAAAAAAACAAAACATTTTTTCCACTTGATGCATAGTCCTTTCTGAGGAAATAATAAGAGTTTGCCTTGAGACAAATTGGTATTTGTACTCATTTCATTATCTTTTTTCTTTATGAATTTTAATTATACTAATTCAAAATGTGTTGATACACAGCAAAAACTTCTGCATACTTATATTTAAGATGTGAGCTTTTGCTAAATGTACAAAATTTAGCAAGTATGAGCAGTAGCCATGTGTTAGCTTTTAAAGTCTATTGATAAGCAGTGTTCAGATGAAACAATAGTCATTATTTTAGTAAGGAGTACTATATTTTTTAACACATCAGTCTGTTTCAATGAGTTTTTAATTATATTGCTGCTTTTTTTGTTTGTTTGTTTATTTGTGTGTTTATTGCAATGCTAGGGATTGAAGCCAGGGCCTTCTCACTGAGCTAAACCCCCAGGCCATATTTTATTTTTAGTCTGAGACAGGATCTGGTAAGTTGTTTAGGCTCAGCTCAAACTTTCATTCCCCCACCTCAGCCTCCCAGACTCCTGGGATTACAGTTTGTACCATCACACCCAGATTTGATAAAGTTTCTGATCTATAGCTTGTTAATAGCCATTGTTTGAGTTCTTGGAAAATACTGATTAATATTTCTCTCGAATTTCTCTAGGAGTTTAGCCTTTGCCTCTCTAAATTAGAAGCTGCCTTGATGACAGGGACTGAGGCTGGATGGAGGTGCCAGTGTGGTCCCTGCATCCCACCCTGTCTCCAGTGAGGCTCTTGCATCTCAGCTAAGGGACACTCTGTGTCTGGTTGAACTAGCACGACTGCTTGTTTTTGTTTCCTAATGCTGAAATCGAAACTTTCCTACTTAGGAAAAGACTTTAATTCTTCTGTTTCTTTTTAGGAGAAGTTTTTGCAATATGTGGAAGCTGTGATGCTTTGGGAAACTGGAATCCTCAGAATGCTGTGGCTCTTCTAGACAGTGAGACAGGTGACAGGTAAGCAAGGAAATGTCAGGTACAGAGTAATTGTGATGTCATATTGAAAGCTTAGGGACTGTGTAAAGTGCAATAGTATGTATGACTGAGGGTGTTAGGGCTCCAGCCTGCACTCCTCCACTCCAATGCATCCCTAGCCCTTACACGTTTTTATTTTTATAAAAGTTACTGAGTGTTGAAATAGGTTCCTTTGTTCAACCACTTAATGTTTAAAACAAAATTTAGGCATTATCTTTTGAATTTTTAGTACGTACTTTCTTTTTTTTAAAATATGATAGTGGTTCTGGGAATTGAACTCAGGACTTCACACATACTAAGCATACACTATACCATGGAGCTGTGTCTCCAGCCCTCAGTACATGTTCTTTTCCCCCGCAAGCCCAGGGTCTCAAATTGAACTACATCTATAATCTTGGGCAGATCTAGAGTCTCTAGGCCTGAGTTAGCACACATACAGGGAAAAGGGGTTAGGATAGAATCCATAGATGTCAGTGGAGTTGGTACTTAGTCACCTGTGGGTATTTGGAAGTGTTATGTACAAGCACCATTTTAGGTGGTTAAGGGTCTGGAGGCCCAAATTCAATTTTCCTATAGAGCAGGGCCACTGAAAATGTGAACCAGTGCTAGTCCAAAAGACTTATCAGTCTGTGTTATGACAAATACAAAAATCGAGATCAGCAAACAGTGACATTCATAGCAGATTGACTTTGCCATGACGTCCATACATGTCATGGTGAACTCAGCGCACTTCCTGGGTATGCGGATGAGAATTAGTTGCTGGACAGTTGGGCTAAACAAATGAAAAGACTGGTCCCTTACAGTGTGTAGATCGAGGAGTACTGGTGGCATCACTGAAGGAGGTAACGAAGGACAGAGAGTCAGGGCCTTAGGACACTAACTAAAGGAAAATAGAATGACCCAGAGTGTTGTGATTTTTTTTTTTTTTTTTTTTAGGTCTGAGGTTTTATTTTATTTTTTAAGACTCCATAGTCTGGGGTTGCAGTTTATCATACTGGATCAGATACAACTTCACAGTCACTGTTCTAAAATGCAAGGAAAAAGTCCCTTGAAAAGGATAAACACCTCATCCTTCTGTGAGAGCCTAATAAAACTCTAGTAAAGAGTAGGTACCACAATGAATGTTTTGCTATAAAAAAAATTTTTTTTAATTCCTACCTAAAATAATAAAATCTCAAAAACCTAAAAAAAAAAAGAGTAAGTACCAGTATCATCATGAACAGATCTCCCCTTATAAACATAGCTGAGGACTGGCAGAGGACATGTGTCATGCTGATGACACACTCTGTGTACCAGCGACCTTTTATTTGAAGCTAAAACTTGGTTAAAATTATGAATTGTAGTGAGCTCTTTATCATAGCTCGGAGGAAAACATTTGAATTGAAACAAGTTACAGATTCTGATTGGTTGGCTGCGGGGATAGCTGGAGCCTGTACACAACAGTGAAAGGAAGAGGAGTACAGAATTTGGGTTGGCCACATGCATGTAGCTTGACAGTGTTTGCCCCTCACTTGTGACCTGAAAGCCTCCGTCCCAGAACCTCGTAGCAAGCTCTGTAAGTGGGAGGTCAACAGAAGATCCTGACGTAGGTTTCTACCTTTATGCTACTTGGCTTTTCTGCTTGGAGTGTTTCAGGCTCTGTATATAGCTGGTGCCTTTTCATCATTGGGTCTCAGCTCAAGATTTTCTTTCCTGGGCCTCTGCTGCAAAGCCTCAGAACATGCAGTGCATTTTGCTTGCTTGTTTGCTTATTTGTCTGTCTAAGGAAAGGAAGCTCTTTTTTTTTTTATTCTTAAAGTTCTTTTGTTGGTACTTTTTATTTTATTTTATTTTTTGGTACTGGGGATTGAACTCGGGACCTTGCTCTTGCAAGGCACGCGCTGGAACGAGTGAGCTAAATCCCTGGCATTTTAGGCATACAATACATTTACATTTATCATTGGGTGTTTGTACCTGTTCATGATGTATCTTGGTTCTTATTTTTTCCTCATTACCTGTGCTCCCTTCACCCCCTCCACCCTTCCCTATTTACATAGACATCATTTCCATTTTTTTTTTTCCTCATATTTTTTCCTTTCCCCTTCCCCCTCCCTTCACTCCTACCGAAAGCAAGCTCCTTGAAGGTGGGAGCCTTCCTGTAGTACTTACCATTCATTTCCATTGCCTGCATAGGGTAGGCCTGGAGTAAAAGTCTGTGCAGGAATAAATGAGTGGAGTTGGTCACAGACCTTATTTGAGTGGTTGTGAGTTATGGGGTCTTTATACATTTCAGTTTAATGTTGATGCTCTTTTTAATCTTTCCTCCTGGCAGCATGTTATGGAAAGCAACCATTGCACTCACTAGGGGAATATCAGTTCTGTATCGCTACTACAAAGGATACTTTTTAGAACCAAAGGTATGTTTTCTTTATCTGGTTTCCAGTTTCTTTACCACTTCTTTCAAAAGCAACTGACTTTAAGTTTGAAAACTTTAAAAGTAAAATGAGTGTTGTGGTCAAATAAGAATAGAACGCTCAGTAACATTTTAATATCAAAAAGCAAGTAAGTAGCCATTTCAGAGCAGATGTCGGCCATGGAATTTTTAAAAGACTAATAGTAAGTATGTTCAGTAACAGTCTTATGAGATTGGTTTTGATTGACAAATGTTCTTTATAGGGGTACGTTTTCTGTGACCTTTCTTTGTAAACTGGTTAGTATCCAGTTGCAAATGTTTTTCTTTTTGTGTTTAATCGTACGTAAAAATACAGTTAGAGAAGTGTATAGGCAATTTTAAGTGGTTGTTTTAAAAATTATTTTGCAGTAGCCATCTCCTACTGGCTGCATTGTTTCAACTCCTAGCAAGATGGGAGTCCTCTTAGCATTTTCCAGAAGCTAGTATTAATTAGCTAGGATCTTTTTTGAAGGCCTTTAGAATAGCTGTTCATTCTCAATCTTTCTTTTCACAATGATTTATTATTTTGGGGTTGTTTTCATATTTAGAAAAGGAAAAAAGTTGATTCTTTTTCTCTTAGTCTGCAAATACTTATTTACGGCAAGGATTCATTTCCTTCAGATTTTTACCTTTGGTACAGTTGGGCTGCATGTAAATAGGGATTTAGGACAGAGATGTAGGAAACAAAACATGAATTGGACCTTTTTAAAATTGCTATTTCTGTTGGAGGTCTTTGAATACTATTCTACATGTGAAAAATACAAGCAGTCACTATTACCTCATTCTTTTAGCCACCATTATCAAGAAGAAAGAAAACTGACAAACCTACTTCAGCTGGCTTTTGCACCTATTACTTTTTTATTCCAAGAATATTTTGTAAATATTCAGTAAATAAACTTAAATTATTTTATGGTTGATCATTGTGTTGGCTTATTTTGACAATAGTCTTTAATAACTTAAACAAGTATCTGTTTATTTGACATGGAGGTTGTGCATTGTGGCAAAGTTCTTTAGTGTGAATTAAACAGTTATGTAGGGATAACATAGTTTGAGAATCCTGATAATATTAAATTTAGCTTTGTAATGCAAATTCAACTGACTTTTACTTGGAAAGGGAAATTTGGACAAGAAAAATCATGAGTCCTTTGGGCATAGTTTTCTAAAATAAGACTGTTGTCAACACAGGTCAAATTAAGACAACCCTGTAGTATTTCCTCTTCATTGAAAATGTAATCAAAAGCCAGTCAAAAAAATGCCTTTTGGAAAAAATTGGCAAGAAGTCTGCTTAACAGTAAAACAACAAATTTTCACCTTGTAATACTTGCAAAAGTTTACAGTATATGTTGGTGAGTGTGTTTCTTTAAGTAGGTGCTTGCTCTGTATCGTGTACACATGTACCGTGTGATGCAGGGGCTGCTATGGTAAGTATGTTTTTCATGGAATAGAGTAAATAGCTACATAAAATCCCATGCATATGGATATTTTTTCTACACACCAGCTTAACGTGACACTTCTTTTTAAAGTTGGTGGCACTTTTTAAATGAAACTTTTTATTAGAAATATCAAAACTGTTGGTTGCGCTTTGTCAAATGATAGAAATAATGCGTAAAAAAATGTGTGTTACTCCTGAAGTGATGTAAATGAATGCAGTACATATTTTATAAAGATAAATAATGATAGGAAAATAGCAATGATGAGAGCATTAAAAATCTGAAACTAGAGAAAAGATTAATTTTATTGGGTCAAAAAACTTAGAATAAATCTAACCAGGTAAACTAAAAATCTTAAGATGTGGACGAGTCACTTGACTTTTCAACTGTAGCATCTTCCTCTATAAAATGAAGGGCTTGAGGGCCAGGGATTTAGCTCAGTGGCTCTGTGTCTGCCTTGCAAGTGCAAGGTCCTGAGTTTGATCCCTGGTACCAAAAAAAAAATATGAGGGGTTTGAACTATACATTTTGTAGGGCCCTTTCATTACTAACATTTTATTGTGTTGGTTTTTTTTTGGTACTGGGGATTGAACTCGGGACCTTGTGCTTGTGAGGCAGGCGCCAGAACCACTGAGCTAAATCCCCGGCCCCTAACATTTTATTGTGACAAAATTTTACCATTTATATTTTCTCTTCCATACTTTGCTTTTTATGGCACATTACTTTTAGTTTAGAAGTTGAGTACTGGAATCTTTTTTCTCAGTTTTGTTCACAGCTGTATATGTTCTCTTACACTTTGTGAAATTAGAATAAAGTTAATATTTCAAATTTTAAGATAATTTTGGAAGTAACAAGACAAACTATTATTTTAATTAAACATGGGAAACAAATTTAATATTCCTAGAATGAGAACACTGGTATGAGTCTACATATAGTCCATTAATTTCATATCTTCATCAGTTTTTGAATAAACATGTAATGTAATTTAAACATCTTATTAAAATCCATGTCTCCCCCCCCCTTTTTCTTGTGACTGGACTTAGGGATGTTTACTTGTAGTGAAAAGTTAGCCAATTTTTAATTACATTCTTTCAAATTTTTCTTTTAGTGAAACTGGGTCTATTTTTCGGTAACATGTCTCTTTCTAATGTTTATAAGTGCTAACATTTACTCATCAGATTCATTTCAAACTCTTGTTTTGATTTAATTTCACTTGATCTTTATATTGTTTAGCAAAAGAATCAGTTACCTCTGAGAGGCAGATAGTTGTTTATTTTCATAATAGCTAAGCTTGTTATTTTAATAAATGATTTTTTTCTTTTTTTTTTGGTACCGAGGATCGAACTTGGGTCCTTGCCCTTGCAAGGCAGGTGACAGAACCACTGAGCTAAATCCTTGGTGCAAGAATGATATCTTAATAAAGTTATTACTAAATACTAAAGATACTCTGAATTATTAATTTGAGATTTTAACCTTCTCAGCGATGTCTATTGACCTAGCTTCCTTTGTTTTACTCATGCTTAGGTAACCATTTTTCTACTTGCTCTTACTAAAAACTGATTTTTAAATAACAATTGAGTTGATTTCTGTATGGCACTGTAGGTAAAATAGCTCAGCCGCTCCCTTTTATATGTGGATTGTTTTCAGAATTGTGGAAAGAAAAAATATCAGTAAAAAATTTTCAAAGTTCATATCTGAAAGCAGTAATATTGTATGATTGCCTAAATTTTGCTTGTTGGATTGTTAAAAAGAAACACAAAACCCCAGTCTACATGTTGGATAATCTTTTCCTTCTATTGATTGATATAGGCAATTGATGTCACTGTTTAAGAAAGCAATATAATTAAAACATTTTTTGCAGAAACAAATTGATGTTTTTATGTTTTTGTTAAACATTTCTACAGTCACCTGATCTTAAATATACTAAATTGTGAAAGAACTCTACCTATAATGTCTGTGTGTGTGTGTGTGGTTTTTTTTTTTTGGTACCAGGGATTGAACTCAGGACCTTGCAATTGCAAGGCAGGCACGGTACTGCTAAGCTAAATCCGTAGCCCTCTACCAGTAATGTTAATGGGATATTGTCTTGGAGTAATCTTTTTTTCTCAAAAGCCACCTTGTGCACTTTATTCTAAAAGCTTAAAATTGTTGCAACCTTTTGCAGAATAGAATTAACAGATGTTGAATCAGTTATTACAGCCAACATGGTAGAAAAGATTGCATGCTTTGGAGTCAAAACAGATTTTCCTGGGTGTGGTGGCATACACTTGTAATCCCAGCATTCAGGAGGCTGAGGCAGGAGGGTTGCCACAAGTTTGAGGCCAGCCTGGACTGCATAGTGAGACCCTGTCTCAAAAACAAAACATTTTGAATTTGAATTTCCCAATATTTAGGCTTTTTTGTTGTTAAAGAACTTTATTTAGTAAGGCTAAATTTGTTTGTTCTTCTGGTACTGGGGATCAAACTCAGGACCTTGCAGCTTGCAAGGCGGACGTGGTGCCACTGAGCTAAATCCCCGGCCCCATAAGGCTAAGATTTAAGATTACTTTCTGAAGTTTAGTATAGTAATCAATGATTTTGGAAGTTCAGTGTATTCTTTTTGTTTTTTAATCACTGTGTACCAACCAACATAGATTTCTAGTGTGAGTTTAATGGACAGTTATCTCATTTGTTGAAATGTCACTTTATACTGCTCCTCAAATAATTATTCAAATCTAGATGATTTTATGAGGTGAGGAGTGGGTTACTAAAATAGATGAGTGTGGAGATGTTAAAAATATGAAATTTGTTGCCTATCAAATCTTTAATCCATGGGACTATTTGTATATGATTAAGTAAGGTATCATAGTCAACATTGTGTGAGGTTCCCGTGGCACTTGAATTTCAGAAACAAAGCAAAATAAACCCTCCCTTTTTCTCTACTCACTTTGTATCCACGTTGATATATATTCATGGAACCCATTTCAACTCACTTTTGATTAGTAATTTCTATAAGAACATTAATTCACACATCTTTATAGAGAAAGGGATTTGAGGAGGGAGTGCAGGGGAACATGAGAAGTAGGAGGGTGGGAAAAAGGCACAAAATAGTTTATTTTGGCTGCTTGTTGCTAAGAAGCATTGCTTCTATTTTTAATGTACATCTTTGGAGGTTAAGAAGTTAGATGTTTAAAAAACATTTTGAAGGGGCCAGGGATTTAGCTCAGTGGTTATGCTGCCTGCCTCACAAGCGCAAGGTCCCAAGTTCGAGTTCCAGTACCAAAAAAAAAAAAGTAAAAAACATTTTGGAGGGCCAGGGATTTAGCTCAGTGGCACTGCGCCTGCCTCACAAGTACAAGGTGCTGAGTTCAATACCCAGTAACAAAAAATCCCCCAAAAAACAAAGACTTAAAAAACATTTTGAAAGCGTCAGGAAAGAAGTTGTAAAAAAAAATGTAGTGGGTATAAAATTAAATGTATCTCCATGTAATGGAGATATTTACCATATTTCAAGGTGAGCAGTCTTAACATTTAAAAAAAAATCTACCTCATATGCCACTTAGTGAACCCTTATAATGAGGTATTCAGCTAGAGGAAAAGAACATTTCATTTACTATTGTAGGGTTAGTAATTTGAATAAATATCTAATGCTGTTTTAGTTCTTAAAAGAGTTTGCAGAAAGGAATTTTTCCTGGTAGTTTTTTAAATTATGGTTTTTTGGGGGCTGGGTACCAGGGATCAAACTCAGGGTGACACTGTGCTAAATCCCCGGCCCCTAAATTATGTATTTTTTAATTAGTACATTTGCAGTACATAATGATTACATTTATCTTGGGGAATTTGTACACATATGTAACACATCTTAATTCTTTTTTATCCCCTTCCCCTCCAATTTTTTTTTTTTTGGTGCCAGGGATCAAATTCTGGACCTTGCGCTTGCACGGCAAGTGACAGAACCACAGAGCTAAATCCCTGGCCCTTCCTTCCTCCAATTCTTTTTTTTTTGGTACCGGGGATCGAACTCGGATCCTTGCGCTTGCGCAGCAGGCAGCGAAACCGCTGAGCTAAATCCCCGGCCCTTCCTCCAATTCTTGATCCCCTTCCCATTTGAAAAAGCTATAATTCCATTTTTTCTTTAAATTATCTCTTTAAGTGATGGAATTATCTGTTATTTAATAAAATGTCTTATCTATTACATATATATTGCTATTTGGTACACTTACATAATCAGTATTAAAATCCAATAAGATACAGAGAAGAGTACCTAATGCATCTAAAGACATGTACTATAGAGACAGAAGCTTGAAGTTTTTAGATATCTTAAGAGTATATTGTATGTCCAGAAAAGGGCTCAAAGATTTATATGAAAATGTTGATAGAGATTATCCCAAAGTGGTGTGAAAATGGATTATTTTTTCATTTTCTTTTTTTTTTTTTGGTACTGGGGATTGAACTTGGGTCCTTGCTCTTTCGAGGCAGGTGGTGAACCACTGAGCTAAATCCCTGGCCCAATTTTTTCATTTTCTCTTTGCTAACTTTTTAAGTTTCTTTAGAGAACGTGTTAAAACAAAAAACATTGCAATACCTTATAAGGTTACAGTTTGAAGATTTTTTCTTTTAATTTGTATTTAAGGACTTTGTTTTGGCACATAACTTTAGTGTCTTTTTTTAACAATTAAAGTAAAATAGGACGCTTTTAAACTTCAGTCTTGCCTGGCATGATGATGCACACTTAATGATCCTAGCACTAGGGAGGCGGGAGGATTGCCTTGAGTCGAAGGCCAGCCTGGGCTACATAGTTAGTTTGAGGTCATCCTGAACTATACAGCGAGATTCTGTCTCCAAAAAATAAAGTAAATTGAGAAATAAAAAATACATAAACTTCAGTCTTTTAGGGAATACTCAGGGAATCTTTGATGGTAGTTCAGTCTTGTTTTAAAATGCTTGTGTAGGTTATTAACAACAATATATAAAGCTTTATTTTCTTTTTTAGTAAGGGAACATGATAGCAGAAGACAGTATTAGGAATTATCACATGAATTTATAACCTCTTAGTCATAAGAATCAAACTGAATGTTAATTCTTTTTTGTCATACTTGGTGTTCAGATTTACCTGTGTATATGTCCTTTCTTTTAGGGTTTCCTGTGGGCTCTTTAGAAACACTAGTTACTGTGATATGTGAAATCTGATGTGCTTGTTTCCCACTTACTTTAAATAAATATGCAATTTTATACCTTTTAGTTCTTCAAGTAACTTGTAATTGATCTCAAAGTACTTGTTCCTATTATTGTAAGCTTGTTTTAGGCTTTTTCCAAGCACCTGGACATTTTTGTTTTTTGAAACAGGGTCTCACTATGTAGTTCAGACTGGCCTTGAACTCACTGTGTAGCCCAGGCTGGCCTCAAACTCTCGGCGACCCTCCTGCCTCAGCCTCCCAAGTGCTGGGATTACAGGCATGTGCCACCACACTCAGCTGGAGGCTTTAAAACATAGCAGGAGACAAATATTTTATCTAGTAATACTTCTTTTACTGCTGACATATGAAAGTGTATTTGGTGTTAACTTCATGACAGAATATCAGTTCAAAATTAAAATTTTTTCTTTTTTGGTACCGGGGATCAAACTTGGGTCCTTGCGCTTGCACAGCAGGCATCGAAACCACTGAGCTAAATCCCCAGCCCCCAATTTTTTCTTTTTAAACAATTGAGTGTTATAGACAGATTTACAAATAGGTTTAAGAGAGTTTTATGTGCCAGTTCATCTCATTTTTCTTAATTTACTACCTCATTTTCTTCCAGCATTTCATCATGTTTTGTGATCGGGGGTACATTGCTGACTTTATATACTGATAATTACCAAGATGAATCTCTTGATCTCATATTTAGTATAAGACTTAGGCCACAAACATCTAATGGAGTCATGGGTAGAAAATAAGATATGAGAGATTATTGCAGACATTTAACTTTTAAATTGCAGACTATCGGTGGTCCATGTCAAGTCATAGTTCACAAGTGGGAGACTCATCTACAACCACGATCAATAACCCCTTTAGGTATGGGCATTAACTACATCTGTTTGAGGCATATGCATAAAGTTACTAATATGCTGCACAATGACTTAGTGAGATTTATTAAAATTTATTAAAGTTTAAAGTCAATGCATTATCAGTATACAAATTTCACTTAGCATTTCACGGATCTTTCAAAACTAAACAGTTCTTAATTGCCTCTTTGTAAACTTTATTAGAAATGCTTGTTCGTTATTTTTATTTTCATGGATTAGGTTAATTTATTATGAAATGCTTGTTTTCATGGATGTGTTAGAAAGTTTTTAAGACAATGTTCTTGACTGAGCATCTGTGGCCTTGATTATTTGCTCAGACTTAGATAGCATTTGAGGAGAAAAGTGTAATCCAAAACAAAATCTTTCAAATTTTTAGATTTGAAGAGTAAGAGCAATAGAATCAGTTATTCTCCTTATTTTTTAAAATTTTTTTTGGAGCTAGTAAATATGTGAATAAACTTGTATAAATGAATTCAAATTTCTTTGTTACAGTTTACATACTTTCCTCTTAATTTGCTTAAAATTCTTTGCTGGTTATGCTAGAATTGATATTCAGAGAGCTTCTTTGTTTTTAAAATGTGAGTCAGTTTTCTTGTGCCTAAAACTGGCATTTCTCTTCATACAGATACTTTTGAATTTCCTTTTCCATGCTGAAAATAGAATATGAAGTTGATTTTACATACACTACCCATTTCATTACAGTGTTTATGTGTAAATGGACTTAGTGCTGAAAAGTGTGTCTTTTAGATTTTAGGCAAAGTTAAAATTTAAGGATAACAGTTGTCTGTTTACTAGCTTAGATTAGAAAGCTGTGGGTGTTTCTGGTTTACTTTGTATCATGGACGTACATCTTATTTAAATAGAGGTCTCATTCCATCCTCTTTATTGGATTTCTTTTTGTTTTACATTTTTTGATAGTGTATTTAGAAATTTTACACAAGGAGAATTATAATAGTCCCATACTGAGGTTGAAACGTATTAGGTATTAAGTTAAAGCATCTTGCACTTAAATGTTTGTTTTTTTTTAATCATAAGAAGTGGAGTGATTTTGTTTCTATTCTTTAGAAAGAAATTTACTGCTTTTGAAAATAAAACTTAGGAGTTGTGTGAAATCTACCTGAGGATCTGTAGAAACTGTAGCATTTATTTTAAAAAATTTCAGACTATGTTTAAAGTAAACTGCGAAAAGAGGTAGGAAGGAATGATAATTCGTATTTTACTTAGAGAAATGGGGCTTTACAGATTTCATTTAATTGAACTGTTAGGAGAAGGGGTTGTGCTAGCACTTAGTTTTTTCTTGGTAGTTCCTCACAGCTCTGTATATACAGGTAAGTTTATACAGTTTGAAAAGCTTTTTAGCTGGCCATAGAGAATAGTTGAGATTTCAGAAGAATTATGTATTAGAAAAGTTCAGAATGTACACTACCTAAGAATAAGCATTTTAATTGTGCCAAGACCTTTGGTTTGAAAAAAATTGACAAGAGGTTATCATTATCCAGCCACCTGTTAACTCGTCCATGGGAGGGTGTGGAAGTCGTTCTGATGCCTCTAGAGCACCTCTCTGAGGGGTTTTCTTTCTGTTCCTTACACTGTCATGGATAATAAACCAAAGTCTGTAAGAACTATATTGCTTGCTAGACTCCTTAAAAAGGAATTCTTTATTGAGGGCTACAATAAATATGCTTATTCACTTTAGGCTTTTAAATTGTAGATTTAATATTTTAAAAAGTCCTTAAAGTTGGTGATTTCTCATTTGTTCATTTTGTATAGTCATGAATTTTAACAAGGTTTTCTATTTTCCTTGAATTCTAGAAAGTGAAATTATTATTGATGATGGACAATTTGGAATCCACAGTAAGTGAGACTGAGTTCTGAAAATATTTACTTATGTGATTGAGATACATTTTATTTGAAATATGTGGCTATGGGAAATAGAATATTGTCTGATTTTGAAAGTAGACCGAACAAACAAATACATTCTGTTAAATAATAGTTTCCAATGTAATTCTTACACTTTACACTTTTATGTGTTACATCAAAAAGATAAAACACTGTTTTGTTTTTAAAACACTATTGTTTGATTGGTGATTTCGGGTATGTGAGTTTATATAATTAATTTAAAAGCAGTAGACTTATTTGAGGAGGTGATAATACTAATTAACCCGACTTGACGAGACTATACATTTATTGAGTTATAATTCTCTAACCCATAAATGTTAAAAAAAAATTTTGGCCACGTATGGTGTCGCACACCTGTTTATCCCAGCTCTTGGGAGGCTGAGGCAGGAGGATTGCTGTGAGTTTGAGACCAGCCTGGGCCACATAGTGAGTTTAGGCTCACCTGGAACTACATAGTAAGACCCTGTTTCTAAACAAAAAACCCACACCTCTCTTTAAAAGTCGTATACTTTTTTTTTTTTTGGTACCGGGGATTGAACTCGGGTCCTTGTGCTTGCACAGCAGGTGGCGAAACCACTGAGCTAAATCCCCAGCTAAAAGTCGTATACTTAACAGTTAACATTATCTTTTTAAACATGAAGATTTGAAATGGTATTGTGTCTTTAAACATTTAAAGTGTGAAACATTACTCTTAGGCTAAGTTTGTGCATGTTGAGTGTTTATATGAGTATATGAATTTTTCAGTAAAGTAGCCAGACTGCTGTAGTAATTCTGGCTGAAATTTGGAGCTTAATTTACAGTATAGTAGAAATGCTTGAACTTCAGAATATGCTGAAAATGCTGTGTATTTGCATGCTTTCCTGCTTCTGTAAATAATATTCTGAGGATTCAGATTTTCTTCAATGACTGGAATTCTTTTTTTTTTTTTTTTTTTGGTACCGGAGATTGAACTCGGGACTTAGAGTGCTTTTGAGGCAGGCAGCAGCACCTCTGAGCTAAATCCCTGCCCCAGTGACTGGAATTCTTAATGTCTCAGGATCATGCTGCTAACTTGCCTTCTCCTTTTAGAAAACTCTACCTTAGGACTCAAAGGTGGAAAAGGGTGGGCGGAATTTGTGTTTGTGCTAACTGAGCCAGAGATAAGTTGCTGATAACCAGTTTACTTTTCTGAAATGAGCAGGACCTGAATGTTTTGGTTGTGGTTTTACTCTTTGTGTATGTTTATACATATTAGCAATGTGCATATCTGCCAGTGTTTGGATAAGAATGGATTTGCTTTTCTGAAATTTTGTTTAGAATGCTTTACATCATAACATAGTTTGTAATACTTGAATAACTTTTGTGTTTATTGTTTTAGTTTTGTCTTCTTTATTTATAAATTTTATTTATGGTGCCTGTTTTGAAGAGCTCTCTTTAGGAGGAGTAATTTTTCATTTCTTTACCTATAATGCCTAGCGTTATGTCCTTCCTTTTTATTATTAATTATTGTGTATAGTCATAAAATGGCATTTTTTTCCTAATTTTTTTTCTTTTTTACTTTGTTGGGTGAGGTTTGCCATCCTAAATTTAGCTTTCAGGATGGAAAGTCATTTCTTTGACTTTGTCCATTTCTAAAAACTGTTTAAAATTTGACAATTATTATTTTTGTGTGTGTTTTTTTTTTTTTTAATTCTTTTATTGTTACATTTTAGGTATGCAACACATTTACATTTCTCATTGGGAACTTGTACCTTTACATGATGCATCTTGGTTCTTATTTTTTCCCCATTCCTAGCCCTCCC